TATAACATAACATCAAGTAGGGTAACAAACTATCAAATTCAGAATCAAATCTAAAGAAATGAACTTTTAACGTTCAAGCCAGTTTCGAATATACCTACACAGTAGGTATATTCGAAAACAACTATCAGACAACAGACAACAACTACTCCCCTGGCTAATACCACGAAGGGCGTTGGATTGTATCCAACCGGCATCAGTGCATGAATCTTCACAAAAAATTTCCTGCATATGCAATTGGCAATACAACTGAAAGGGTCGACCTTCAATTTTGGAACGGGCACACTTGCAGACCGGTTTCGGGCTCATTAGCCACTCATCAGTGCAAGATAGGGGCCATCATCGACCTAAAGTCAATGATATTCCATAATTGAAATTCGGAATTTTTTCAGAGTATTTCATTCCTCTTCCTAAGATGGAGCAAACAACAAAATGCCACACTCCATCTAGTGGACGAGGTACTAACCAACTGCATATCCGTAATTTGCCCGATTCCTCTGAATAAGGAAGAAAAACTTTCTTATCAGTTAGTGGGCTATGCTTGAAGACTGGCAGTGAACAAATCTAAAGAAATGAACTTTAAACGCTCAAGCCAGTCTCGAATATACCTACACAGTAGGTTGAATGGACTGACGCCTATCAGAAAACAACTACTTCCCAGGCTAATACCACGACAGGCGTTGGAATATATCCGGCCGGCATCAGTGTAGGAATCTTTACAGAAAACTTCCTGCATATGCAATTGGCAATAAAATTGAAAGAGTCGACCTTCAATTTTGGACCGGGCACACTTGCAGACCGATTTCGGGCCACTATCTGATGAGTGGCTAATGAGCTGTACACATAAACAAAATGTGAATATTCAAAAAATCCGCTTAAAGAAATAAAAAAAGAAAGAACTCACTGTTCATGAAGACAACACGAAATGATTGAGCTGATGAATAATATTTGGTTACCCCAAAGAATATTTGATTAAAGTCTCTTCTCCAAATTTCATTTTCAACTGAATTTATTTTACACGCCTCCAGATATATTTTGCTGTCTATCCACTTCTTCAGCGAGGACGGTAAAAAGTATTAAATGAAATTCCCATTAACGGCGAATACTTCAATTATTGTAAGGGTATTGTCATCATGGCCTAGGCTTCATCTCTTCAACCTCACCTAATCAAGTAGAGAGCCATCGAAAGGATAAAAGAACTAACCCGAATATTGTTCACGAATTCGAGAAGGACTTATATCGATATTTTACAGAGCTTACGGACGTGATGAATTGTCGAGACGCGAAATTGGAGAGGTTCATTCTTTTTTATTTTATTCCTTTCTATATTGTTTCCATTACATTTCATCTGAGGGTAGAATTCGGCTTCGAACATATGTTTCCTTATTTTTCGTGGTTGTGATTTCGGCAAATTGCTTGACAGATATTTGTATTGATATAATTCAAGAGTGTACCTTCTATTTCTTTAAACAATTTTCAAGTGTTGGTTCTAGTTATTCTATTGAGAATTAATATTTCTTCAGGGTATGATTCAAACTGTACCTTTTTCCATAACTGAATTTTTGCTCTGTCCAATTCCAGTACATAAAGTTCCCCATCTTTTCTGATTTCCTGCAATTATTTACGAATCTAAACATCCATGCGGTTGAACATAGTAATTTTTGTCATTTTGAAAAATGTTTAACTTGTGGTGTTTGGATTTCACTAAGCATAGTCTGTACGCAAACAAAATCTTTCCTCATTTCTAATTTTGCTTGATGGAAACATTACTTGATTGAACAGTCTTTTCTGGAAACATCTTCTTTCGGTCAATATTCAAATTCTTTCCATAGAAAGTCAGGGCCATTTATCCATCTGCTTTCACCTGAGAAATTCGTTTTACCTTAACTTTTGGTTGCTTCATCTGCAACGTTCTGCTTTGACGGAACATACTTCCACTCAAAAACGTTGCTTAATTCTTGTAATTCTCCAAGACGTTGTGCAACAAACATTTTAAATCGTCTAGCTTCTGATCGTATCCAATGGAGTACGGTTTGTGAATCAGTCCAATAGAACGTGCTTGAAATATTGAGTTGCAGATATTTGATCAAATAAGAACTTAATCTAGCTCCCATCAATGCAGCCTATAATTCCAGGAGGGGTATTGATAAAGGTTTCAGAGGTGATACTCGAGTTTTGGCTGTCATGAAGCAAACTTTCCCATTTTTGTTTTGTTCCCAACGAATGTAACCTACACCAACGTAGGCGTTCTCAGAAGAATCACAAAAAATGTGAAGTTGAAGAGTACTTTTTTCCCTTTCCATCATGCAAAATTGTCGTGGAAGTTTGAAGTGATGAATATTTTTTAGATCGTCAATCCATTCTGTCCATTTCATGTACGAGTTATGGGAAATGTCATCATCCCAGTCGATTTTACTTCTCCAGATATCTTGGAGAAGTATTTTACCTCGTACCATGAAATGTGCTAGGAACCCTAGGGGATCGAAAATTGACATCAACACTTTCAAAACTTCTCTTTCAGATGGTTTTCGTCCAGTATCTAATAGACTTCTATCTATTTTATTGAAATTGGTTTTCAAAGTGGATGTGTCGTCTTTAGGATCCCATCAGAAACCTAATATTCTTTTCTTTGACGATTCGTTTTTATCGAAATTTTTTTGGCAATCGGCTAATAACTTATTATCTACATCCTTTAATATATTTGAATCATTAGCTATCCAATTACAAATTTCAAAATTTCCTTTACTATGTACATATATTACGGCTTTTTCTGCCGTATCTGCTCCTCCAAGATAGTCGTCCATGTAGTGAGCGTCGATTATATCCCTTGCCGCTTTCGGGTAGTATTGGCTGAAGTCTCGAGCGTTTCTATTTTTTGCTTCTTGTGCTACCAAGCCCAAGGCAGCAGGTGCGCAAAAAAGGGTTACAACGAAAAGGAGAGTTACAAACAAAAGCTTTGAAAGCGTGATGAAATAATAATAAAGCTATACTTTTTTCAAATGAAGAAATACATATAAAGTGAGTTCGAATTACATCAAAGAGGTTACATACAGCGCCATCTGACCGCGAATAGATCAAACAATAATGTCGATAATTCTGGAGTCACAAACAAACAAATAAACAAACAAACATTAATAGATACAGGTGAAGCTAATAAAAGCGTAATAATAATAGTTCCATTTAAAGATCGAAAGTTGATGGTTATTTTAGAAAAATAAAATAAGTAGAAAAAATTGTCGTACTTGATGGTCTCAGGTAAAGGTGGTTAACATACTTTTATAACTTCTAAACTCTTCATATACTTTCAACATTTTCAAATCGTCAACTTGAAATTTCTCATTTTGATAAATTTCGAATCAATGAGTCATAATTCTTCCACAAATCATCAGATATATCAGTATAGGAATGTAGGCGTTCATAGTTGACGTCAATGTTTTGGTTGGTTTCCGGGTTTTGCTGTGGTCTTCTTTGGTTACAACCTCTCAACTCAAAGACCACGGCAAAACCCGAAACCCAAGCAAAACAACAGATATATTTTTTTAAAGATATCAGTGAAAATCTTTGGGAAAAAATTGATATTTGGAAGAATATTTATTTCAAAATACCAATACTCATTTATTGCAACAAGAGGGTCAGGGTGATATTTTTTTATAATTTGTTGTTGTCGTTGAAATGCAGGAGTTGAAATAATACATTCCGTTCTCCAAACAAGAAATGTATATTAAATGAATTCATTATAATTTGAAATTATTTCTGGGCTACAAGAGCTAGTGAGATGTAAACCCAAAACTTCAAGAGCGCAATCGTTTTCATAAAATTCAGCTCTAATCGGTTACCTAATGAACAAAAATCGAGTACTTTGTGGTACATAGTCTATATAGCCTTACCTGAAATTGCCGTCAACTTTTTTATTCACAAGCCAGTCCCTTTCACCGCTTTCTTCATATATATGAAATTTTAATGGAGTTCCATTGAAAATTTTCGATTAACTCCTGATCTTTATAGGCTATTCTACTAAGTAAAAATGGTATAGGTATAAAAATATTTCAAGAAGTAACCGTTAGGAAGTTGTAAGTGAATTTTGCTGGAGAGGAACTAATAAAAGAGAATTTTCCACTTGCTCTGCCTCACTTCCAAATTAATTGGATTTTCTGCAAGGCTCCTATATCCGTCGATAGGTTTCATTTTACACCATTCGTGGCTTTGGTATTTAATTGATGGTTATGGCTCTCTGTAAATGTCTGGAGATATACTTTGGCCATCGGAGAGAACGATAGTTTTCTACTTGATGGGGTGATAATTCCAACATTGATTAAATTGGTCGTGCATGAGTTTCTTAAGAAACCTATAATCCAGTCACTTTATCTGAGTTCAAATTTAGATTTGAATTGAAACGGGAGAATAAAATTCTTGAAAAAATTGTCTTTAATAAGTTGCTTGATGATTATAGTGGAAACAATGCAAATACACAGTTTCCAAATATGTATTTGAAGTATTGGTATGTCTATAATTGACGTCTAGTTGACGACAAAAAAAAATTGAACGTCGGAAAAGCCACGATGCCTGAAAGTTCAATACCTAAAAATGAAAGTTTTACCCGATCCAACAGAACAAAAACAATGATTCATTATATTAGCCATTATATACCACACGTGTAGGTACTAATAGAGGTACTTGGCTTGATTGAGTATCTGAATTTACAGTTCACAATGCGGATCTGCCAATTTTGTCTGGGAAAAGTGTTTTCTTCAGATTCAAATTACGCTAGATGTTTCAATTCTACCTGTCAAAACAATATTATGTTTCATGGTAACCTCAGGCATATGTTTCAAGTGTTCTGTGGCCTGTGGTGGTAACCTTGGTAACGACTACCTGGACTAACTTTACCTATTAAGGTAAAATACTACCTACAAATAGTATAAATTCATTAAGATGAGACAGAAGTGGCAGTAAACATAAAAATATATACCAAGTATATTATTCAATTTATTAAAGTATTATTTCTTGAAAAATTCAATATGTCATCCGGAAATGCTATGGACTCTTTGAATGCTGCTCTCAAGTGCAATATTATTCCAAATCAAGAATATTTACTACAAGGTTCAGTTTTAGATCAATATGTTGAAGTATTGTTGCATCGTTTAAGGGGTCTATGTGATAACGTTGATAGTGGCCCAGAATCATTTCATGACCACGAACTTTGTTTTTCTCTGAGGATTGCAAATACTGGCACAACAACCCCAATGTCTGTGTTTGCCTTGAGAGTAAGGAGATCGCTAGATGTATCTGATACACCTTTTCAGCTACGATATATTGGACAACAAGAGCTAGGTGATAAAAATAGACCAACAGTTGTGCGTTCTAGCATCGACATCGCTTGCAGTTCCACTATCACCGACTTTTTGACAGAACTTGGATGCAGATTAGATTTTGAGTATATTGCAAGAGGATATATGTTTAGGAAAGGTAGAATGAAAATCACAGTTTCAAAAATTTTCAAGATGGGAGGTAACAAACCTGTTGAAGGAGTGGAGCCTATCTCTCGAAGTTATNGAATATGATGGACTGGTATATCTTTCTTGAAAATTGAATAATTATGGTTTTTTATTGCTATTTGGTCGAAAAAAATCGTGTTGGAAATAATTTCAACACTAGTGTTAAAAATATTTTTAACATGCTACTTTGTAAACATCAGATTTTAATACTCTTGACAACCATTAAAAATGTCACTTTCAATGACAGTTGTACAAAAAATTATTTGTAATACGCTATACTGATGAATTCAAAAGGTACACATTGCTTCATCACATAGTTGAAACTGAAAGAGTCTATTCACGTATTTCCGTGAAATAAAATTGTTTTTTCTCAATATTGACAAATATTCCAATATAAAAGAACAAAGGCTTTCACGGCCGGGGTCAAGAATGAAAAGGAAATCCGAGCTGGTAGGCCGTGGTTTAATGAAACACAAAGTGGTACAGTGGTACCAGGGATATGTGCCATGTTTGAGAGGTTTCAGCAACAACGATTTCTTGTGTTAGTATCCACTCTAATCATTGTTTTCAGGGGTATCATCAATAATTCATTTCAAAATATCATAACAATTATGAGACGACTTATAGTACATGAAAAACATAATTTAGGCATGAGAACTGAAGCATTAACTGAACGAAAAGGAGAATTATTTAAAAAAAAATATGAGAAACAACGGAAAATTGGTGAAGAAATCGAAGGAAATTTACTGAAATTTTAGGATATTTGTAAATCATATTTATCGAAGATATAACTGAAACCGAAATTAAAACAACAGTTGTGAATCAATTAAGAATAATAGTGATAGTTTTGTACTCTTTAACAATCCATAGCAAAATAATGCAGAACCAGTGAAATACCCTCAAGAATTTTCGTATCGTTTAGATTCGGTTGTGGTTGCATGCCAAGGAATGGTTTGAAAACGTCGAATCATTTTTTTCCAGTCTGAAGGACCTTTCATGTTCGGCAGAGTTGGGTCGGATACAGGAAAAAAACCTATGAACGACAACCCTCAGAAGTCGAAACTTGTGCGAGCTAAGGATTAACGAGGTCTTACCTTTTAACGTGTGATTCCTAACACGGGTCTGAAACCAACATTTAGACTTGATAAAAAAGAAAGCAGAAGTAGCACTGATACAGATCAGATGCAACGTGTTTTGCAGAAAAATCTGGAATAATTGGAAAGAGAATAATGGATGGGACCTAAAATATACTTTTACGGGTAGAAGTACACATTCCTAAGAAATGAAATTGGGAATTGATAAACCCAAAACTAACATCGAGACTGGTCTGGGAATGGAAGCAACTGCGTCACAGATACATATTTAGTCCACTCTGGATGCCAGGAAAAGTGTTAGACGATGATCTAAGTGTTCTGACGGTTCCAAAATCCATGGTGTGGGGCCATATCAGAGAAAGAGTTAATGGGAAATGATATAATAGTGATGGAAAAATATTTCTGAGTACATTCAAGACTAACTTTTTCAAAGAGACCGTCTAGGAAAATTATTCAATAATTGATTCAACACACCAGGTATACGTTAAAAATAATCAAAGGGATCATCATTGGAAATCATCTATTGAGAGCTCAATAACAAAATAGGTCTGAATGAAGAATACTGCGGTCGCAGGCAATGCAACAAAGGGACAAATACAACTAGTCATATTTCATACGAATGCTTCAGATCATGGCTAAAATATATTCAGATATGACAAGCATCCAAAAAAATCATCTCGATACCTGATTGTTTGAATAGGCATAATAATAATTCACCGAAAAAATAAAAAAAATAGATACAAAACGGACGTTCTGAAAAATATCTGAGAAATAAAAAGACTATATCTATTCCACAACACTATACTGAGCAGTCCGAGCATTCATTTTCATACAACTTATTCATACAAATCAGTGACAATAAGAAAGTTCAACCATGAGTTGAAAAATAATTCATCGATGAGCAATACAAAAGCGATGAGTTCTTCTTTTTACAATCATATTTTTAGTTTGATGGTTAATAATATATGTGTAGTATTCAGATAGTATCACAAATAACATAATTTACGATAAGATGAAACACGTCAAATTACTGATGAATAGCTCATTTTCCTTTATGAAAAATTACATAGAATATACGCGGTTACTAATCGAGGTGAACTAGAACTTTACCTTTTCTACTCTCATATGAAGTTTTCCATTATGATTTTTATTTTTTTTACATTATGGAAGGGGAAAAATTTCCAGAAGGTTCCATGAAGAAACCATAAGTTTCACCATTAATTTGAGTATTTGAAAAAAACGACGTTAGTAGTTTTCTTTTATTTTCTCTCTTCCTATATAAAAAAATCATTCTATATACCGTTCTCGAGAACATTCTAAAATCAACTATGTTTTCTTCTCTCATTATTGAATGAAATGACTGGTAATGGATTGAAAATTTCATTACATTAAGTGGAAGTCTCTTCAGNAAGAGTGTATCGAGGGAGATACACACGTATAAGAAAATGAATATTTCGAAACCGAATCTCGAAATAAGCATTCCTCTCCACTTACCTCTATAGTAAGTTTTGGTAAATACCTGCCGGAAAACAACTACTTCCCCGTCTAACACCATGATGGACATTGAATTATGCAAGATGGACATTGAATTATGGAGAGGTTAGTCTTGCAGATGTTTCTCTTTCAACCAACAGCAGATGAAATTAATCGAGTAGTCACCTACAGATCGGTTTCGAGGTATTACCTCTCATCATTGGAGAATCCGACTCAAACTGCAGTTCTGCTTGGAACTCGATTGACTTCAACGCGGCTAGACTGCATGTATGAAATCTTCGTCTGAGGGAAATATTGTTAACTGGATTGTACTGGTAAATGGGATGTTTCTTTCCTGCTTGGGGCGTTGTTCACGAGATGGAGCTGCTGCAATAAATATAGTTTGGAAAAACTGAAAAACACGCTCTTGAAGAACATCGAAGTACTAAGCTAAAAATAGTTATTTTGAAAATAAGCTTAAAACAATAACGAACGAAAAATACTAGTATAAATGTGAAAAAAGCGACGGGCGCTTGACACACAAAAAATATGGCACAAAGCGCCCAGGTTTTTTTCACAATGATACCAGTATTTTTCGTTCATTATTGTTTCAAGCTTATTTAAGAAAAATATTTTTAACTTTTTAGTTCGATGTTCTTTATTTAAAAGTGTTTCTTTTTTATTTATTATTTTTCAGTTTCGTATGCTATAAAAGTGTTTTGACTTTACCTGTAAATTAGGTATTATTGGAATTATCCAGTCTCGAAGAACCAAATTAAAATCCAATTTTTTGTCTGTCAAACTCTAATCTATTTTGTTCAACAATATCACAGCTAACTTATACATATTATCAAATATTTATAAACATCAAATATCATTATACAGAATGTAACAAATTCAAACTAAATAAACGAAATAAAACTCCAACATTCTCCCCTTCAGTAATTGTCTCATCAACAATTACTCCTCTTTTCGTTCTGGTCGTGTACTGGCAACACACATAATCTGGAGACTGGTCTTCGGAAAATTATTTTCTTGGCAGTCATAACGTCGGCAACACGTATTTTTCCATCCTTTGCTGGATAAAGATAAACTTAAATCAATCCGTTTCGTCTTCGACCAATGTGTAATAATGACCATACTTCACGCCAGAACCACACCGAATAATGACTGCATGAAGATTATGATAGTGGTCTGCTAGATTGAAGTGTTCATCTATTTCGAACCTTCGTAAGAGTTTGTTGCTTCCGTCAGAGGCTGAGTCTTGTTTGCAGATCATCAATGTTATTATTAGATTGACTGGTGCCTCAGCTATACCTATTTTTAATAATAGTCAGTTAGTTTGGCGCATGTTTCACAATACATTTTCAGATTATTTGACATTAGGCTTTGCACGGACCTGTTATCAGTCATATTAAGAAATGGGAGTTGAAGTTCCAGAAAATCACTACTACGAAGTAAACAAGTGAGGATTTTTCCAGCAAAAGATCTACAAATACAAGACAAGATAGACTGTACGGAATCATTCAATCTAGAGCGGTCAGGACTATTGATTCTGCTATTTCTTTGCTCATGAAGAATATTCAACAAGAACCCCAAGAATTCGGAGCAATCTTCTTGTTGCCTTAACGAGTATCTAGTGGACTTCAAAGACTTCAGGAAATCGGTTGGTGGGAAAGATGATACATTCTTACGAAACTGCACTTGCATGAACAATTTTTTAAGTTTGGTGAATATGTAGGAAACATTCTCGTTCATCGTTAAAACCTTGTTCTTGAAATTATTTGTCATGAACAACACTTGTAAAATGCTATTCATGTAGTAAGTGTTTTCTAAATTATCTATTTCAATTTTCTTCCCAAGATTTTCAGGACAACTGTCTACTGATTCGTAAGGAAGAATATGTTTCACATAATCTGTATCAGAACCATTTCTTAAGCTGCAATCGAGCCTTCCAAGCGATGAAGGGTTTCGTAGGGGGGTCGATTCGGCTCTTGCTTCATGAAGCTTTTTCACTGAAAGGTAACCAGAACCACGAGGACTGCTCATATTTGGGCAAGATGGAATTGTATACAGGGTGTAACATAAGTACGTTGAAATATTCAAGTGACGTATTCTTGAGACAATTTAAAAAAAAGTTTATATAAGTTTGTGTTCGAAAATGCTTCGTTTCGGAGATGAAGGATGCTAAAATTGAATATTTTGTTCGTTCTTTGAAGATAAATTTTGCAAAAAATAAGGTATTTACACGAAATTTGGTACCCGGCATTTTTTGAAATCATAATTTTGTATTAATTTTCATGTACCATCTAGAGGACTGCAAATTGCCCTCTCTCCGCTTGCAAATTAAGTTGATTAAATCGAGTAGGCTATGAAAGTTTGTTTATGAAACTAGAAGTTCGCTGTCACATTTTTAACTATTAATTGACAAATTCACAGTTCGGAGTTTTC